TTTGGCATACTTCTCGGGTTTTTTAGAGATATAATATTACGCAAACTCATGTTCCAGTCAGAGCAGGGTTTAGGAAGTTTACCTATTTTACTTGCTTTTTTGAGTTATTAGTCTCTGAGTCGGGATTCTGGGAATGACTAGGATCATGTAACTTTTGAACACTTAGGTCGTCTTCGTGAATTATGTGAAGTTTTTTGTTGGTAAGTAATAATGAGTACACCGGTATTGCAGTAATTTTTTGGTTCATTCCCTATGCCTTAAGGCTAAAATGGGTGCCTGTTTTAATTGCTGGAATTATACGCGCAAATATGCAATTCTTATAATAATTTGGAAAAACTGGCTGAAGGCTTTTTATGGTTTGTTTGTTAACCAAGACCAGAGTTATAATGACTAGCGAATAGTTTAGGAGGTGTCAATGGATTAATTTTTAGTTTATAAGTTTTCTGAACAGTAGATATTTCAACAGGCAGACTTTTGGCTTTTTGGGTTTCACAGAATTCTATATCGAAGCTCTTTCATCAGAGTTTAAGACGAGATTTCCTTCGTAGAGTTCCACTTTTCAAATATCTTTTCAGTAAATCTGTTAAAAATAACTAATCAATCTCATTAGTTTGACTTCTACAGCTAAGTAAAAAACTAGCATTTAACTACTTCAAAATATTACTTTAAAAAATATTGCTTAAAACCTTTATACCTCGTATTTATAAAAAAGTTCAAAGGAAAAGGTGAAATTTGATTTTTTTTAAGGACTTATTTAGTCATCAATATCTATTTTGTCGAATTCAGAGTAATACCCCTCTGATATAATACACTTGTGCCAAGACTTTTTCCAATCCTCGAAGCACTTCTGAACATCAACATCTTCTCGGATTTCTGTAAAGCACTTGTACCACTTATAAACACCTTTTTGAGACAAACTGGACTCACCAAATGCCACAGTCAACATTTCAAGTGCCTTGGAGCATTTTATTCCATTTTTAACCTAAAATTTAATATATATTCTTTGTTCCATTTCTTTCAAAAGTTAAAAATCGAAGAGCACAAACGTGACTAACCTTTTCTGTTTGTCATAAACATATGTGTCCGATTATAACAAAAACAAAATATTCCTTTGAACACACCACGTAATATCAAGGACCTTTTAAAACTCTAGTAATTCCACGAAAAGTGCTTCCCTCAAGCTGGGTATACTCAAAGACGAGAAGACTTGCTTCCAAGACTATAAAGCATTACGAAAGTACAAGTAAGTAATAGCAATAGCATTTAGGAGGAAACCGAAAGAGGCATCGGAAGAGTTACTCCAACAAAAACAACTCAAGCAGACGCCCATTAAATATAAATTTGTCCAAAGCATGGCCATAAATTAATCACATTTATGTCAACATGGCTATTTTCGTAAAGAACGCTTCATTAAATCACAGTTGACAGCTTTTGTGTTAGTGCGTCTGCATTTATACAGCCATATATATTTATATACCTATATACAGTTACACATGTCCAGCCCACTTAGACAAATACACCACGTTTCCTTAAGTTTGTTGTCATACTCGCTTGGCTTTCCTGTGTTTGTAATTGTTTTTGTTTTCATTATTATAGCTTGTGTTTGTTGTTATTATTGTCATTGTTAACGTCATCAGTGCAACGCAAATCTCATTCCAGACATTTTAATTGTCATGAATTTCTAAATAGTTAACCAACCCCTCGCACAATATTAGCTACACATAAAAAAACAACAAAAATGCCAACAAGAGTAACAGCAGCAACAACAACAAGAGCAACAACGATTAAATAGCCGACTAAGCTATGCTTCTAACGATTTGCTAATTACGTCCGTGTCATTAAGCCACTTAAAATTAAGCAAACAAACAAACAAACCGGCAAAGAAGCAAACAAATTTATTGCGAGCAAGTGTCGCATTTTCTACCGACAATTTGATGAAATACATGCCAGCAAGAAGCACAACAACAACACGCTTGGTTATAATGCTGAACAAAAAATGTCAAAGCAATAAAGGAAGTACCAGGAAGCATTTGTAGCGCAGCAGCAGCAGCAGCCGAGGCCGACAAAAAGAAATTGAAGTTGAAGGAAGCAACCAGCAGGCAAAACAGAAAACAGGCCAGCAACGATAGTATGCAGCAGGCTTGTGCTGCAAGTGGCGGCTAAGAAACAACCCTCCGTCCACTCACACACTTACATGGGCACATTTATGTGGTACTTTTATCCAGCAGCGCCAGCAAATCTGTGACAATCGGTGTCAACCCTCGCATCCTTGCAATGTAAACATTACCAAATAATAATAATATGTGCTCAGCGCTCGGCCGTTGCGCGTTCGACGGTGTGGCGCAGCGGGCGGGGTGTAAACGGTAGTGTAATTGTTATGTGGCAATGGTTAAATTAGCAATTGATTATGAAGGATGTGAGCGACCAGCAGCAGCAACAAACAAAAAGCAAAGAGTAAACAGACTGGAGAGTCACTCGAAACCTAAACAAGTAGATGAAAATAAAAATAAACGGAAATACGAAGTAAAATGCTCCAATTAACGAGAATTGAATTTCGCGGATTTCGCAAAAAAAAAAGGGATAACGAGAAGAGTATTATTAAGAGAGATTTTTATGGGAATTGAACCTTAGCTCGGTAATTATAGGAATATAAAGCGTACTAAATATTACAGAAGATATCTTAAAATGTTTTCAAAACATAAAGACTTTTAAAAGTGGCGAACACCTAAAGAAAAAAGTGGCGATTTCTAAACTCTCTTATATGGGAACAGGCTGTAGTAAAGCGTCTTAGTGTCAGTATTCATTGGAAGATTGAATAAACAAACGACCGCAACTTCTTTCTTTATAAATATACTCTGAATATGCTATATTAAATACGCCACGAAGTTTTTAACACCCAGAAGGAAACGTCGGCTAGCTCTAAAAACTATATATATAAATGATCAGCGTTTGCAGTCGACTTAGCTATGTCTGTCTACCTGTACATAAGCGTCCAGAGCCTCAGTTTTTGAAATTTCGATCTAAAAATTTTCACACGTTCTTCTCTCCCCAAGAAGCTGCTCATTTGTCGGAACTGCCTACATTAATAGCTGTCATTCATCGATCAGAATCAAGTGCTTAGATAAACAATTTTTTATTTATTTGGACACATTATCTTCACGAAATTCAGCACAAATTACTGTCATATGCTACATCCTCCAAAAAAATTGTTCAGAACGAACAACTAAGGCATATAGCTGACAACAAATGAAACTACCAAAATCAAGCGATTGTGAAGTAGACTTTTATTATTTTCAAACCGAAGCTTTGGGCGGCTACAAACGATATTATCTGATCTTAAACAGCTTATTATAGGAACGCTTGGGCCACTTTTAAAAAATATTCATGAAGAAATCTCAAACTATCGTGAGCTCTCCATTGCATTGCCTCTCACCGAAATCTGATCGTTGCCCAATTTTGTATATTTTGATTTATAGAACACGATAGTTTATGCTTATGAAACACGTAAAGAATTTTTTTCAATCCCCATTAGTCGATATGTCTAAAATTTTCTATGAAAATATGTTTTTGCCCACAAAAATCTAACAGACTTCACTTTCACTCGCAACTTTTTTACTCACGTTACTCTCCCTCACTCTGATACCGCGCTCTGGCTCTGTCTCTCAATAGCGGAAATGTGTCTCGGAACGTTTACCACCGTTACTAAAGAATTTTCGTCATTTACCAAAGCATGATTTCCTGCTTGCTACCTCCGCTAACATAGTGAAGCCTCGGCATTGCTTATCTGCTCATCGGACACCCTGCTGTTACGCTTTGTCCACACCGTTCCATGCGAAATATCGAAAGATTTTGTTGCTGTTGTACCGGAAACAGCATGCTCTGCGGAAACATTAAGCGCAAACTTTTGTCTGTACGTCGCGTCGAGCCTTCGCCACGTTTGATTCTACATTAGTCGTTAATGACTTGGAATTGCGTGCACGTGACCAACATTTAAACGATATTCACCGCCTTCATAGTTACATGGGCGAAAACAAACCCAAAATCTGTGTACGAGTATCTCATCTCAAATGAGAAAGTGAGAGTTTGTGTAAGCGAAACTTATTGTTTAGACACAATTATTTGCTAGACGAAGAAATACTTATGGCAGATTTGTAAAGGTAGAGTGTTAATCTATTAATGTGGTAATTACTGTATCATGTACGTGTTTTGTTGTAATTAGCGCAAATGAAATGACGGCAGATTCTTGCGACCAAAGGTGAAATGGTGGCAGTCATGGAATCTTTTTGGTTTAATTACAGTAGGATTCGCAGCAAGAGCTCGTATCATAATTTAATTGCTTACTATGTGTATGGGGAGTGCACAGTCGATGTTTTAGTTCTCAGATAGGCTTACTCGTTTAGTATAATATAGTGATTGCCTTTTTATAATATCCTTAAGAGTTTATTCGAAATCCTTAAAGAGAAAAGCAAAAAACCCTGTTGTCCCTGTATTTCGAGCGAAGATTATGTCTTTACTCTTTCTTCTTTACAACACAAGACTTGAGCAGAGTTTTTTCAACGACAATTGAACAAACTGGATAACAGAACCTGAAGAAATTTTCTGTCTCAACAACAATAATAAGTGGTTCCAACCTTTGAAGTTTCATGACAGAAGTTTATGTAAGGTATAACTGAAACCTTTTATCTCCTTTAGTAGTCTTGATGGAGTTTTGACTAAATAAATGGAAAATGCAGAAGAAAAAATTATGATTTTCAAAGAAAATTAAATAGTTCAAAGGGTAAATTTTGTACTATACCAGATACAGTAGTTGAAATAAAATTGAAATTTTTTCGGCCCGTATAACGAATAACTGAAACTCATTCCATACGTGGCTAGAAATTTGTCAGCGAATGTATTGACTTAACTTGAAATCAGATACAGAGAAGTGCTTGGATGTAATATGTTTCAACACTTCAGATTAACGAAATATTTCAATAAACAATCAAAGAATATTCACTCACCTATCACCACCGAAATTTCCGAAAATGTGACTACCAAAAGTAGTGGGCGTGCTGTGTAGCGCCGTTGTGGGCGTAGTGCCGGACGATGTACGCGAAGTCAACGATATCGGACCGCCAACTTCGATGGGCGAATCTGTATGACGGGAATTAGAAGTCGGACTATTGGGACAATGTTGAGGAGTGGCGCGCGCACTGGGCGATGGCGAACCAGCGCTTATCGAACCAACCGATTGCGATGCCGATTGTGTGGTAAGCTGCGTCGATGAGAGGGGACGTTCATTGTCCGAGTCAATGGCATGCGGACTGGCCGATAGCGGACCGGGACTGTGTGAGCGACGTAACGATGGTTCGTCATCATCGATTTCGCCGGTAATGTCAGGCGAAGACTCGCGACTATCATGTAGCTGAAAGATAAAATTAAATTATTAGAAGAAATAGCTGATATTACACAAAGATACAGGGTGTGCAAACAAATTTGTGTACTTACCTTGTCCAGCGAACCGCTGCTCTCGCCATTCTCGCGCTTGCGTTGCTCATCCTTAAGGCGTTCGGCTTTACGCCATTTTGCGCGTCGATTCTGAAACCAAACCTGCAATAACAAAAATGGCGTCAGTTTCACTTGAGTGCATTTCGGTGTGTGTGGGTGAGCGGTTGGAATGTCCAAAGATAATTTACAATAATTTTATATATTAAGAGCGATAGCCAAGGGGCGTAGTTGTGAAAATTGAAATTGGAAAAGTTTTCTGCTCGACAGACTTAGGCATACACTCAAGCGCACAACAAATGCATATCATGCAAACAATAAACCCAATTTTCCACCTCAGAAACTTTATCAATTTATTTATTATATGCCCACATGCGCACGCATCCTGCAGGCTCGTTAGTTCAACTCTGTGGAAGAATTTCGCATTACAAGTACATGGAGTTGGGTTTGCCTCCATTCCCCACTATCCATTCGCCATTTGCTTTTGTTCTGGCTGTTTACGCCATTGTTGCAATCAAAAATAAATTAATATCAACAATGAAAACAAAAACAATAACAATTGCGAGGAACATTTGTACGAGGTATATGCGTTGGAGCAAGGGTAAATTGGCAGTGTGCCAAGGATTACCGAGGAATGTGGGCACAAATTCTTGCTGCAGGATATGTTTGTAATATTTGCATGTATTCAGACAATTCCATTAATTTAACACATCACTTCCATAGTTAAGACAGTGTACTGTTAGCTGAGTGGCAAATATCAGTCAGTGGAAGAGCAAGCCCTAACCTTCGGGAATTTTTAAAATTATTAAATATTATAAGTTTTTGAATAAATAATTCAAAATCTATTCACATAATCTCAACTTCAATATATCCAAGACGGACGTAACTACAGAAAATACAGTCAAAACTGTGGTTACCTGCAATGAAGTCGGAAAGAAAAAAATCGTTTTTGGTTCCAGTAGTTTTTGTATAACTTTCTAACGCAATACTTAAGAGTCCAGCGAGCAGTCTAAACTATGATCTTAAAAGGTTAATGCGTAACGAAGGCCCAAAGGTGCACTGCCCGCCAACTGATAAACTCTTTGTGATTAACGTAGTACCGTTCATATCACTTCCCATTAAAAATAGCAAATAAAACTAGAAATAAAGAGTGTGTGTTATAAGGGATAGGGGTAACGCTCTGATCTTGCTTTTCAGCAACTCCGCTTATTTTAGAAAGACAGATTTAATTTATTAGACGTCGTAATGGAAAATGGGAATTATTAGAATTCTTTATCAATCTTTTATATAGAGTTAATAATTTGTTAGCGAGATACTAAAGAAACGGGGAGTCGAATAGTGACACCCCGAAAATTAGCACCTATTTTAAGAACTTTTATGATATCTGCGAGTTTTAGGTGTCAAATACTGGAACACCACATTGAACTATGCTATTCCAAGTCTAAAATGTATTATATATAAATAATGTGATTACAACGGTATTTCGAGTACCAAAGAAGACTTGGTCTGCCACAATATGTTGGAAATAGATGTCGGTTTCGTTGGCATATCTTTAGTTCAAACGATTGGTGAGAAGCAACCGAACTAAAGTGTTGAGATCCACATCGAAAGATATTTACCGTTATATTGGTTATGTTACATTCGATTCGCTCAGCATTAGAGAGTGGCGAATCGAACACATTATATCAGCTGTTCAAACAGATTTTGTTGTTACTTTTACATCTAAATTCAACCAAAACTAGTAAGCAGAAAAATTACAAAATGATGGCGTCATCAAGTCAAATCTGATGCAAAACCTAATTAGGTAAGCTTGTAATGCCTGCAGTGCAGCTGCGACTTAATCAGGCAGAAACATTGTTGAACATTTTTCGGTATTACTTGGAACAATTGTGCGAGGAAAGAGAATTTTTCTGATGTACCCAGTTTATCTGAGTTGTTTTACAATAGATATTAAATGCTTGAATCAAAGTCACCAAACTCGATAAGGATGGAGAGTATAACTAAATCTATCTATAAACGCAGATTTCTTAAAGAGAACATCTAGGGCAAAAGTTTTAAGAAAGAGAGCTGAATATTGGAAAAGAATTTGAGTGAATTTAATTTCCTAAACTAAAAGGTTACGGGCTCTTCGAATTAAGCTAGCGGATATACCGGTAACTAATATACGAAGAACAAGCAACCTCGCTATAATACCCTTCACAAATACAAAGACTCCTTACAAGAACTTGATTCCGATCGTGCCATTTGTATGGCAGCTATATGATATAGTGGTCTGATCTGAACAATTTCTGCAGAGAAAACATTGTTGCCTTAAATAATAGCTCGTAACTAATTTTGTAAAGATACCTCGTCAAATAAAAGAGTCTTTCATACAAGCACTTGATTCCGATTGTTCAGTTTGTATGGCAGCTATATGCTATAGTGGTCCGATATCGGCCGTTCCGACAAATGAGCAGATTCTTAATGAGAAAAGGACAGATGTAAAATTTTCGATCGATAACAGACGGACAGACGGACGGACAGACAGACGGAAATGGCTAAATCAACTCAGCTTATCATGCTTATCATTTATATATATATATTTAATAGGGTCTCCGGCGTTTTCTTCTGGGTGTTACTAACTTCGTGGCAAACTTAATATACACTATTCAGGGTATAAAAATATAATCGGTTAGTAACGGCAACTTTTGATAGTAACGAGAAAAATCATAAATATTTTGCGCTGCGGAAAGACGAAATGAAGCTACTTTTATTCTGATACCCAATCATAATAAGTACCAGTTTTCACCATGTGTGTGACTTCCAAAGCACATTTTGTAATATAACCGAAAAATATTGCCCGCCTTCTGTGCTCAGTTGCATGGGGATGCTATAAAATCCCATCAAAAGTATTATCCCACTAAAAATACTATTTACTTTCGCATAAAGTTTAATGAAACAATCAGCCATTCATTTCAATAAAACAATCCAATTTATACTTCTAAATGTCTGTAGACATATGAATGTGTGTATGTATGTGTATATGCCATGTATACGAGGCTTCCTTCCGCAATGGTTTTACTTCCGATTTTCGCTGATTCCTAGCAGTCTAATGGGATTTGTTAGAGACAATTGCATGCGCGACCAACACAGTAAGAGAGATGGAGGCGGATAGTGACGAGGTAATGCGGCAAACGAGAGAGAATGAGAAGTTATGGATTGACGCCAGCCTCCAGCTGCGAAGCGACCACAGAAAGTAGTTAAAATGAAGCCATATCCACCAAGTAAGCACAAGTATGTAAACATGTATGTAAGTAAGTAACTAAGTAAGTAAGTTTTCTAATCAAAATTCAAATTAGATGCTACACAAAATTTCTGCTTGACTTGCCAGCCGAAAATGGAAATCGGGAAATGACGTCAGCTACAACCACACAACTACAAGGCATATATTATATACATATATACAGCGTAGTTGTGGTTGCCTCCAAGGACGGAATGCGGCAAAAGACAATGGCTTCATGGTAACTATGCGACTATAGGAGTGTGGGACTGTGGCACTGTTAGACCCTGCGTCGGCGACAACAAATATGCCATGCTACTACTTGTAATCATGCCACCACAGTCAGTCATAACAATCTGCAAATGCCACACGCCGCCAGGCAAACGAGCAGACTGCCGTTTGTAGACGCTGCTAAGCCAAAGTTGAGGTGCCGAAGCTGCTCACATTCTATGCTCTACACAGCACATAGCCGTTCCCTCAAGAGCTGCTAAGGTTTTAGCTGCAGCGTAGACAATGAAATGCTTGCTGCGGCTTCAATGTGTGTTCCTACCTCCTCCCCATTAGTAATCATGTTGATTTTCCATTTTATTTGCATTTATTTTGTTTCGTTTTTTTTTTTTTTGTAGTCTCCTCGGTTTAACATTGTAAGTGGTAATAGAATAAAGCTTGGCGTGCATTAGCTCGAATCATTTCGGATTGGCTTGATTGTACACCCACTTCTACGCCTTCCATTGTTGGCTATTGTGTGGGCGTGTATGGTAGGGGGAAGCGGCTCATGCTCATTTGTGGGTGGTGTATTTGGTATCAATACAGTTATCTGCGAGTGCCGCTGAGTGTGCCTAAGGTTGCGCAGTCGCCGCTTACAATTTTTGCGCTCTATTCGCTCTCTGTTAACTACCCCTGTGGCAAGCGCACACACAGACGCATACAAAAGCAGACGCACACACAAACACACGTAAACTCGGTGCTCCGTTTTGTTGCCACTTTTTAGCCTTCCGGCCATCTATTTAGTTGGCTTCAGTGACGACGCCCACCACTTGCTTCATACAATATTTATTTTATAAGCACATTATAGCGTGCTACAACAACATGAGTTACAAAAATAGCAGCAACAACAACGTTGGTAATAAAAACAGCAGAAATGGCGCTTGCAACCGTACAAATGTGTGCTTTATGGTGGTTGTGGTGATTGCTGTGGATATTTTTTATACTTGTTGTTGCTTTTGCTGTTGCTCTTGCCTGTAATGGCTCCACATTTTTTCCGTGTGCTATTATTTCTTTATTATACGGCACCACCTCCCAATTGTCATCCCTTTGGGAGTCTTTTGTTCGCCGCTCCGCCGCATATTCCTTTTTACGAAGCTATAAATAGCACATACACACATACAAACATACATTTTTATAGTGAACTCCCTCTCAGTGCGTTCTTTGTTGTTGGCAATTTGCGAAAAAGTCAAGTGAATTTCGTTTTTCGATTAGAAGCAAAGTAAGTTAGTTAAGATAATTCGATGTTGAAATTATAAGGATAAGCAGCAAAAAATTTGTGGTTAGAAAATATATTCTAAAACTGTGGCAAAAGTTGTGAGTTAGAAAATTTTTTAATAAGAAAATTAATGGAAATGGAATGTATTTTATTTTTAATAAAAATGCGAGTATTTGATACATAAAAATAATAAAACATTACAAAAATACATTTAATAACAACAACAAATAATTATAAATAAAATTTTTCCAGAAAATTTTTAGTTAAAAAATTTTTCCAAAAAATTTTTAGTTAAAAAATTTTAATTTCTAAATTTTTTTTAATTTAATGCAGCAATGAATATAATTTCAAGACAATTCACCT